CCGATTCACACTTCCTGCTTAGAATTGCTTTTGCTATTCTGGGTCTTTTATTTTTCCATATGAATTTCATGATTGCTTTATCTATTTCTACAAGCAAAAAGATATGATGCCAGACCATTGCTAACCATTTGGGAAAAAATAGAGCTCCTTGTCTTTCACAATGGTACTTCAAAACAATGCCAGATGGCTCACTAACTTAATTATTTTAAGATGAAAGGTACTTCAAGAAAATAAGGGTAAAGTCTTTTATAGTGGGATAAGAAAGGTGTATAATGCTGGTAACAAAAAAACAGTACACTAATAAAAAATGAGGGGTTAAGTATAACTCAGGGGCAGAATGTTTAGTTTGTGTAAGGCTCTGGGTTTAATCCCCAAAACCACAATAATTACTTTAGTGGATATAGAATGAACAAAATTCACACCAAAAAAATAATTATCAGTAGTACAACATATGAAAAGATGTTTACTTTCATTAAATAAATATATGAAAGCAATTAAGATTATTTTTTCTTAGAATAATTGCTATGGTTGTAGGCATAGAAGCATTTTTGGTAAGAGTATATAGAATGATCTAACTTTAAAAAAAGGAATTGGGCAATAAGGGTCCAAGTTTTTACTGTACGTAACCTCTGTAGCAACCCTACGTTGGGGGATTTATACAGAAAGGAAGGCTAGTTTGAGAAGCTTTTTTTTTTTTTTTTAAGAGGTGTGTTAAAATAATAAAAGGCTAGATCCAGTGGTGTGTGCCTGTAATTCCAGTAGCTCGAGAGACAGGCAGGAGGATTGCAAGTTCAAAGCCAACCTCAGCAGTTTAGCAAACCCTTAAACAACTTAGGAAGACCCTGTCTCAAAATTTTAAAAAATTAAATGGACTGGAGATGGGATTTGTACTTTTGGGTTCAATCCCTGGTACAAGAAGGAAAAAAAATAGGGAAAAACACTGTTCATCAATGTTCATCTTCAACACATGAAGCCCTTTAATGGTTTTGTTTAGCTATATTCATATATATTGAATGATCTTGAAGACATATAAATTGAAGATCTTGAAGACATTAAGCTAAACTATCAAGCTGTAGAAATATATATATGATCATACAAAGGGGCAGTGTATCTTAGTATTTATGTGTTCAAACTTGGCCTGATAAGCACCTGCTCCAGAGGATGGGTTAGTGGTGGGAATAGAGGCGCAGCCAGCTCTGCTTTCCCAATGTCTACATGAGATAGGAACATGGGAGTACCTACAGACTGGGACCCTCACAAAAAAGAATCTGAAATGGCAAGGCAGCACCTGAGTGGCAGTGAGAGAACCTAAAACTGCAGTGGGTCTTGCTTGGGGTTCTAGGTCCAGAGGAAGAAGTGTTGGCTAATGATCTGACCATCAGAAATAATGACAGTCAATTTGGAAGACTGATCAACTATGGACTAGCTGCTATAAGCTTTTCCTTCAATCTTTTGAAAAAGTTATGATGTCTTTGCAATAGGTCACTCTTCTTGATATATGGAGGATTTGGCAATGTGTAAGAAAAATACAATTTGAAAAACTAGTTTTCAGGCTGGAAGTATGCTTAATGGAAGGGCACAGTGGAAGGGCATTTGCTAAGCATGTGTGAGGTCCTGGGTTCAATTCCCAACACTACAAAAAACATCACCAAAAATCTTTATAATCTTTGTTCACTAGAAAGAAACACTTATCTTCTGGAAGTCACTTTTGGAAATGCAATTTTTACATCATTTCTTGGACTTACTCAGGCCCATGTTGGAGGGGAGGGCAAAAGGTAGCTGAGGGAGGAATATGGTTCCTGCTAGAACGTACATGTTAGAACCATTTACCATTGTGTTGTTAACACTCCTGTGTATAAAGTGATTAAACTTAGGCCCCTTCATTAAAATATCTAGCATTTTAAAAAAATATATTTATTTAGTTATAGATGAACACACAGTATCTTTACTTATTTTTATGTTGTGCTGAAGATTGAACCCAGTGCCTCACACATGCAAGGCAAGCACTTTACTACTGAGCTACAGCCTCAGCCACAAAACATCTAGCATTTTTACATTTTTGGAAGTAGATGTGAAATAGTGTCAATATTTTCAATTTTCTTAGATTGTCTAATGGGCTAAACCACTCTGAAAAATAACATTAATCAAGTGGGGAAAAAGGCACACTCATACATTGCTGGTGGCACTACAAATTGGTGCAACCCGAACAGAAAGCAGTATGGAGATTCCTTAAAAAACTTGGAATGGAACCACCATTTGACCCAGCTATTCTACTCCTCAGTCTATACCCAAAGAAATTAAAATCAACATACTATGGTAACACAGCCACATTAAAGTTCATAGCAGCACAATTCACAATAATAACTAAACTGGAACCAATCTAGATGCCCTTCAGTAGATGAATGGATGAAGAAACTGTGGCACATATACATAATGGAATATTACTCAGCACTAAAAGAATAAAATTATGGCATTTGCAGGTAAATGGATGGAATTGGAGAATATCATACTAAGCAAAGTAAGCCAATTCCAAAAAATCAAAGCCCAAATGTTCTCTCTGATATGTACATGTTGATCCATATGGAGGAGAGCAAAGGGGAGGCAAAGGGGAGGGATGGTGGGAAGGGGAAATGAGGGCAGGAAAGATGATGGAATGAGATATCATTACCCTAGGTATGACTGCATATATGGTGTGACACTACGCTACATTCGTGTACAACCAAAGAATTGCAAAGCTGTGCTACAATTGTGTACAATGAATCAAAAATGCATTTGCTATTATATATACCTAATTAAAATAAATATAAATAAAATAAATACATCTATCAGTGCTCTTCACTGAGTAAATAGAAGGGAGAAGGAAATTATGCATTTATTTAGCATTGCTGTTTATAGTGTATTTTAAAAAACGTATGTTCTATTTTCATGTGATAGAATATATTTTTCTACGCTTTTTGGTTAAATTTATAAGGAAGACTTTTTTTATTTTCTGGTACTGGGGAGAGAATCCAGGGGCACTCAACCACTGAGCCACACCACCAGCCCTATTGTATTTTATTTAGAGATAGGGTCTGAGTTGCTTAGTGCCCCATTTTTGCTGAGGCTGGCTTTAAATCCTCTTGTCTCAGCCTCCTGAGCCACTGGGATTACAGGCATGCACCAATATACCCTCCCCAACCCCCACCACCCCCCTCTGGGGTTACCTTTATTCCAAAAAAAAGCTTACTTAAAAAAAAAAAAGTCTTTAACTGGTGATTGATATGGTATGACAACAATCCTGATAAATACCTTTTACCCCACTTAAATGTCTACTTTTAGTAGTTAAATCCCAGAATTTTTTTTTTTTGGTGGAGGTGTATTATTGGGTTTGAGTCCAAGGGTGATTTGTGTGTGTGTCTATGTGGTGTTGGGGATTAGAACCCAGGGCCTTGTGCAATCACAGCACTGTACCAACTGAGGTGTATATCCAGCCCAAGGGGACTTTTTACACCTGTGCTACATCCCCAGCCCCCACTCCTCTATTTTTGGTTAAATTATTGAGGCTGGCCTCTGCCTCAACCTCCCAGTTGAGGGGATTACAGGTGTGTACTGGACCAGAAAATGCTAATTTTAAGAGCATGTTATTTTTTTTTTAAAGTATGTTTAACTGGAAAAGCACATATTTCCATTTAAGTTGAGGCAACTATTCTTGACAGAAGGCAGACAAACTATTGGTTTTTTTTTTTTAATATTTATTTCTTAGTTCTAGGCGGACACAACATCTTTGTTGGTATGTGGTGCTGAGGATCGAACCCGGGCCGCACGCATGTCAGACAAGCGCGCTACCGCCTGAGCCACATCCCCAACCCCAACAAACTATTGTTGCACAATAAAGCCCTATCAGATCAACTGAAGCCAAGACCCCAAATCATAGTTTGTAGTTTTATTAAGCTTCCATGTAAAATAGTTTATATCATTAATGATATATTTTACAAGGAAATCCCTGATCTCTCCCTATCAGGTTAAAGAAACAAAACACATTAAGTCAGTGATTAGGTTTTTTAAAATATCAAGGCGTTTTGACTAAGCTCATGTTTGTTTGTTTTTAAAAGATTCTGGCCTGAAGTCTCACATGTACATAGAAACTACAGGGTTGGGTTTTTTTGTTTATTTGCTTGGTTTTTGTTCCAGGATCAGGTAAAGACAGGGCAGATGATGGCTCAGGGTTAGGACCATTTCTTGGTGACATTGAGATGGTTGAGCTGATCTGCAACAAATCTATGTGGGGGAAACTTTGAAGTGCTGGCCTCCTTGATGGCCTCGAAAGCCTGTGCCCTCCGCGCGCTGGCGTGGCCGTACTCCTGCTCCGCCGTCATGTAGGGCATGCTCAACCAGTAGTGGTTCTCCGCCTCGATCTCCAGGCGACGGATCATGTTCTGCTTCGCCAACAAAGACACCCTCCGCGGCCGCCGGTGCTTCCCGATCAACTGCCTTCCAGGAATGCGATTGCGGCAGAGCAGAGCAGTGAGGAACATGGTGTCTGCTGAGGAAAGCGCACAGAGCTAGAGACACAAGCTGGAGACCGCCGGGCCAGAGGAGAAGAGGGCTCGCAATCCGGGCTCACACGCCACGGGCGATTCTAGTCCTGGCGGCCAAACATGCGCACCCACCCCCGCCCCCGCAACACAGCGACAGGAACCCAGTCTAAAGTGGAGGAAGAGGCCTCTCCTCGCACCCATAGAGCCCAGCCACTCACCAAGAACCTTGCGCCCCTGCCGTGGCCAGCAAACGCTATATGGAAGAACGTGAGCCTCTCGGGGTCACCCGGGACCTTCTCGTGATACTTCAGCTCTCGCGAGAGAAGACTTCTGCGCCTGCGCAGAAGCAAGGACGTTTCCGGCATTTACAGATTCAAATTAGTGGCGGGTTTGGACGGATCCGGAGCGTAGGTTTATCCGCTGGTACCTAGGTTCTTGTTCATCTGCCCTCACCCATGGACCCGATCCAGAGCTTCTACTGCAAGTTGCGGTCTCTGGCCAGCACACTAGACTGCGAGACGGCCCGGCTGCAGCGAGCCCTGGACGGAGAGGAAAGCGGTGAGTGAGGCGGGCGGGCCGGGCCAGGTGAGGGTCTCCGCTTTTCAGCCGCTTTGGTGAATTTCGCCGCGACTCGGACCGGCCCCGGGCGGCGGCCGGAAGGGTACCCGCTACTAAAAATGTACCGACTGACCGAAGAGCTTATTTATGGATAGTGGCTAGAAGTGCTTGGAGAGAGAGACCGGTGCGGATGCTGCATCTATCGAAATGCTCAACGTTTGTCGTTAACATAGCTCTGCGGGATGCAAGTGCCACACTTATGATTTCTTTTTTAATGGACACATAATAATTGAACTATTTATGGGACGTGATTTATTCTTATGCTCCTCAATTGCATAGATGTGTCCGGTTTTAGTTCCATGGATAACCATAGTGCTGTTCTTTTTAAATTATTATTATTTTTTTAGTTGGTGGTGGACCTTTATTTTATTTACTTATTTATATGTGGTGCTGAGAATCAAACCCAGTGCTTCACACATGTGAGGCCAGCACTCTACCACTGAGCCACAACCCCAACCCACTGTAGTGTTCTTCTCATGTGATGAAAGTAGCTTGTTATTATGTTAGTTACTATTATTGTGAGAGAGAGAACAGCCCTTATGAATAAAATCCTAAATTGCCAGGTTGAGCTCATAAATGTACACACATTTATACATGATGTGCCTTCAAGTCATGTTTTGTGCTTATCAGTAAAAACCATGTAAAAAGTTAATTTCTTTTTTAAAATGCAGCTATTTAGCATTGTTCTTTATACATGTGTAGTGACTTTTGTCTTACCTGTAGTGTCCACAGTTATAATAAACGTCTGTATTTTCCCCAGTAAATTATATTGCCAACACAAACACTAGCACTCAAGACTACTGTTGGTATGTATTACATGTATTATAGAAAACATGAAATTGTGGTAATTAGAGAAAATGATCACAATTTCACCTTTTATGATTACATTGATGAATCATTGAATTGATTGACTTTTTTAAAAAATTTATTTTTTAGTTGTAGTTGGACACAGTACCTTTATTTTATTTATTTTTATGTGGTGCTGAGGATCAAACCCAGGGCCTTGCACATGCTAGATGAGCCCTCTACAGCTGAGCCACAACCCCAGCCCTTGATTTTTAAAAAAATATTTATTATTTTTTTTTTAGTTGTAGTTGGACACAATACCTTTATTTATTTATTTTTCTGTGGCGCTGAGGAATGAACCCAGTGCAGAGCCACACCCCCAGCCCCAAATTGACTGACTTTTTTTGGTACCTGGGATTGAACCCAGAGGTGTTTAACTACTGAGCCATATTCCCACACCTTTTTATTATTATTATTTTTTAAGAGAGAGAATTTTTTAATATTCTTTTTTAGTTTTCAGCAGACACATCTTTATTTGTATGTGGTGCTGAGGATCGAACCCAGGCTGCACGCATGCCAGGCGACGTACTGCTTGAGCCACATCCCTAGCCCCCTTTTTATTATTTTTCTTTTTTTTTGAGGCAGTGTCTTGCTACGTTTATGACCCAACTGAGTTCCTGAGGCTGGCCTTGAACTTGGTATCTTCCTGCCTCAGCCTCCTGAGTCACTGGGATTACAAACATGCACCACCATACCCTACTCAAATTGATTGGCTATTAAATATCTTTGAGATGTCATTTTACATATAATAGAACTTACTATAAAAGAATTAGTTCGGTGATTTTTAGTATATTCACAGATTTGTGCAACTGTCATAATAAAAAGTTTAAGTTTTTGTCACTTCCAAAACAATCCTCCATGCCTCCATTCTTCCCCATAACCATATCCCCACCCACCACACTAGCTTTAGTAACCATTAATCTATTTTCTGTTTTGGATTTGCTTATTCTGAACATTTCATATAATGGAATCTCATAACATGTAGTCTCTTGTGACTGAAATAGAGGCTTATTTCATTTAGCATAATTTTTCCATGTTTATTCATGTTGTAACGTGTGTCAGTATTTCATTTTATTGCTGAATAATATTCAATTGTATGGATATACCAAATTTTATTCATCTACTCATCAGACTTGGGTTGTTTTTATTTCAAACTGTTGTAAATAATGCAATTATAAATATTTATGTGTGGGCTGGGGATGTGGCTCAAGCTGTAGCACACTTGCCTGGCATGTGTGCAGCCTGGGTTCGATCCTCAGCACCACATACAAAGATGTTGTGTCCACCGAAATTAAAAAATTCTCTCTTAAAAAAAATTTATGTGCAAGTTTTTTTATATGAACAGTTTTTTTGTTCTTTTGGATATGTATATATCTAGAGGTGGAATTACATGGTAATCCTATATTTAATTTTATGAAGAAAGGCAAATTTGCTTTCCAAAGTAGCTGCACCATTTTCATTTGCATCAGCAGCAATGAGGGTTACAGTTTCTCCACATCCCCACCAATATTTGTTTGTTTTATCTGTCTTTTTGATTGTAGTTACTCTAGTGTGCATGAAGTGGAATCTCATCATGGTTGGGGTTTTTTGGGAATTTTAATTTTTTTTTTTTGAGAAGGGGATTTTATTATGTTGCATAAGCTAGATTCGAACCTCACATTCAGCATCCTCCTGACTCAGCCTCAAGAGTATAAGGGTTGACAGGCCTGGGCCACTGCACATTTGCATTTCCCTAATGAAAATTGGGAACTCCTAACAGCTAAAGAAAGAGATCATCAAAATGAATGTGTTTCAGAAAAGAGAAATAGAGTTCTTTTAAAAACTACTTTTAATCACTATATGACCAACTGATTAATGACAAAAGAGACTGTGCAGTGCAGTGAGTACAGGATATCTTTTTTTTTTTTTTTTTTTGCAATGCTGGGTATTGAACCTCATGCATGCTTGGCAAGTCTTCTGTCACTGAGCTACATTCCCAACTCAAAAATGTCTTTTGAGGAAGCAGTGTCAGGTTGATTGGATGGTTATCTACATAGAAGAAAAGAATGAATCTTGAACCTTACTGTATTCTGTACAAAAAAAAAAAAAATTCCAGATGGTTATAACTCTAAATGCAAAAGAAAAAACCATAAAGCTGTTAAAAGAAAACATGAAAAAATATGTATTATCATTGGCAAGGATTTTTAAAGTAGGAAACAAAAAGTATTCATCATAAAGGGAAAATTCGACAAATAGAACTACTTTAGGATTAAGAAATTATATATGGTGGCCCATGTGTGTAATTTCAGCTACTTAGGAGGCTGATGGGAGGATCACAGGTTTAAGGCTAACTTGGCCAAACCTTGCCAATTAGCTTGACCTTTCATAAAATAAAAAGAGGAGGGATATAGCTCAGTGATAGAGTGCTTAATTAATTAGTGTGTGACCCCTTGTTTAATTGACAGCAACCCTGTCCCCCACACACACATTAAAATTAAGAGAGTGGAAGCCAGGTGTGATGGTGCATGCCTGCAATCCCAGCCACTCAGGAGGAGCAGGAGGATGGCAAATTCAAAACCAGCCTGCAAAAAAGCGAGGTGCTAAGCAACTCAGTGAGATCCTGTCTCTAATAAAAATACAAAATAGGGTTGGGGATGTGGCTCAGTGGTCAAGTGCCCTTGAGTTCAATCCCTAGTACAAAAAAAAAGGAGTGGAAAGGCAATGTAAAGAGTGGAAGATATTATAATACATGTTTCTGACAGAAGACATATCCAAAATATATAGAGTGGCTGGGCATGGTGGCATGTGCCAGTAATCCCAGTGGCTCGTCAGGCTGATGTAGGAGGACTGGGAGATCAAAGCCAGCCTCGGAATCTAGCGAGGCCCTAAGCAATTTTGGTGAGAGCCAGTCTCAAAATTTAAAAAAAAAAAAGGACTGGGATGTGGCTCAGTGGTTCAATTCCCAGTACCCCCCCCCAAAAAAAAAAAACCCTACAAATTAATAAGAAAAAGGCAGATAATACCATATAAAAATTCAAGCTTTAATTCAAATTATCTTCATATAGTCATTAAGTATATGAAAAAGCATCAAATGTATTAGTCATCAAGGAAATGAAAATTAAATCCCAATATAGTACAATTGCATAGCTATTAGGATAACTAAAATTGAAAAGAGGAAAGTACCAAGTGTTTGTAAAGATGTGTAAAAACTGGAACTGGCATGCACTGCTGTTGGGAGTGTAAATGGTAACAGCAAGTTGGAAAACCATCTGGCATTATGTACTAGAATTAAATATATGTATAACCCATAATACAGCACATATTCTAGGTCTTTGTGGCCAATATATGCACAATTCTTTACCCCAAAGACATGCTAAGGCTGGATGTGGCTCAGTGGTAGTGCACTTGCCTAGCACGCGCAATCCCAAGCATTGCAATTAACAAACTAAAGAACCATATGATAAATATTTTTTTAAAAAAAGATGTTCTAGAAAAATTCAAAGCAAGAATATTCATAATAGTTTTAACAATAGAATAGATATATTGTAGAGTGGAATACTGTTTAGCAATGAACATGGATGGATTAGATAAGAACAGAGGGATGTCATATAAAATGTTGAATGAAAAAAGCCAATCACAAAAAAATACATATTATTTGAGTTCATTAAAGAAAGTTCATAAGCAGGTAAAACACTTTATGGTTTTAGAATTCAGAGTAAGGTTTACCCTTGGGGGGAATGTCGCAGTCTGGCTGCAGCAAAGTAAGGGGGAGGGTGACAAGGAACTTGTGAAGATTGATACAGCAGGAGCAGGAGCCGCTTTATTGTAGGACAGTAGGGGTATATATACACAGCTGAAAACACAGCTCAACATTTCCCCCTACTGTTTTTAAACAACAAGTATATGGCTTAGGGATCGTGCCTGCCTTAGGTTGTCCAATAGTACATATGGTCCTTACCCGTCATCAAATGAGCTGACCTCAAGGCGTCAGCCTCCTGTCTTAGGTTGGTACCATTGCAATTGGATCTTACCCGTCTTTGACTACTGGCCCAACACACTCAGCCACACTTGTGGATAACGACCATAGTGGTTTTTACACAAACACCATAAACAATCTGCTACAAGCAGAAGGGAGGAGAATACAAAACGCCATGATACCAAGCCAATTGATGGCTCCAAGTAAGAAGCCCTTGGAAAAATTGTACCACAGATGACACCATCAGCATAGATACCCCAGTACTACTACCATTCGTTGCATCAACAGATAGTTCACAATGCATATAAGTAACACATAGTCCAGGAAAATTACAGTCCAGGTAAGTTCTTCAGGCAGCTAGCTTATGATGATCCAAAGTCTCGGTTTTCACTGGGACGGAGGCAGGAACTCCAGCAATGCTGGCTAAAGAAAACCCTGTAGCATTCCACTAAGCAAACAACCTTGTGAACAATTTAGTGCATTATATCAAGGTTTTTTACATTTGAAATAGGCCTTAATGGCTCATTACTCATTAGCCTCCAGGTGTGGGAGAACCATTATAGTTACTGACATTGGAAATGACGGCCGTAGTGTCCTGGGCAGCCCCAGACGGCCCAGGGGAGTGTCCCAGACTCAAACTGCCACCGGGCACAGGTCTGGATTTGGCCTGCAGCAGTGGCGCCCCGCTGGGGGGGGGCAGGTCCCAGCCTCGGCTTGGAAAGTCCCTGCTGCGCTGTGACCGGCTCCCACACTCAGCAGCCACTGCGCAGCTTCACATATCCTCCCGTTAGGAAAAGTATTCAGTAGTAGCCTTTTGCAGTTCCTTTCTTGATAGTCCTTCCTCCTCTGAATCTTCTTCCTCTTCCTGACTAGAGTTCCTGGGCCCTTATCAACGTATGCCCTAACTGCTCTTGGTTCCACTGGGGTGCCTCCTTCCCTTAGTAATTTACTTAACACCCCTTCCATATTTTCGTCACAAAGACAACACACCAAGACAAAACAAGACACAAACATACTGTGTCAATCCTCTCCTTTTTCTCAAAATGGCCATTCTTCCTCTCACCCTTTCTGCTTAGAGATGAGCAAATTTGCTCCCGTCTTACCCCCGAGTGTCCCGGGGCTCCCCAGATGGGCCACTAGCTGCCACAGTCTGACTGCAGCAAAGTAACTGGGGATCGGGGGGGGGGTCGGTGAGTGACAAGGAACTTTGAAGGTTGATACAGCAGGAGCGGGAGCAGCTTTATTGTAGGACAATAGGGGTATATATGCACAACTGAAAACACAGCTTAACTTAATTAACATAAACTAGATACAGCAGTCAACCAATAAGGAATCCTCATCTTAATTATATACAGCTTAACTTAATTGACATAATCTAGACACAGCAGTCAGTCATTAAGGAATCTCCATTATCTTAATGGTTCGCTGGTGTTACTTCTCAAACCACTCCTCTTGGCAAAGTGCCAGGTGCCATCTTGACTTGTCTGTGTCTCTCAACAGGGGAAGAGAGGGACTAAAAGAGGGCTTGTAAAATTTTAGTAATCCTCTTTCCCTTTCCCTTCTCTTCTTTTCTTATTTATTGAGCTGAGGGCTGGTTATCCAGCTAACAATTTGTGAAGTTCCTCAAGCTATATATACTTAAGATTTTTTGTTACAGCTGTATTATGTTATGGTTCAATAAAGGTTTTAAAGAATAGTCTTTTTTTTTTTAGCAGTTGACAAGAGATAAATTATAAGTAAATATCTACAAGGATTTTAAGAAACTACATTTAATCTTTTTATTTTTAATTTTTTTTCTTCCTTATTTTTCTTGTATTTATTGAACTTTTTTTTCTTTCAACATATGTATTGAAGATTTTGATGATTATCCAGTGGGAATTTTACATGATCTTCATTCAGAAGTCCAGACTTTAAAGGTATTAATCCTAGGATATTAATTTGTTGTATTTCTGTGGTAATTTTTTTTAGCTTAAGTAGAACTTAGAGAAATTGTAATATATTTTCTTTCCTCATGAAAGGATGATGTTAATATTCTTCTTGACAAAGCAAGATTGGAAAGTCAAGAAAACATTGATTTCATAAAGGCAGCAAAAATATTGATGAAAAAAAATTCAACGGATATCATAAAAATTAGAGAGTTTTTCCAGAAGTATGGATATAATCCACGTGTCAAGGAAAGTTCAGGTTTGTTTGACTTTCATTTTATAGAATATGGCTTAATATTTAAAAAGGCAACATGATTAACAACTGTAGGCTTGGCCATAGTTTTTAGTTCTATGTCTGCCGTTATATGAATATCATTTCATAAACATTTATTCAATACTCATTATGTGCTGGTCAGTGACACAATAGAAAAATGGGTTTTGCTCTCTTTTTCACCATGCTAAATGAGAGCCATCATCATGCTACAAGAAAGACCTCTGACCTTTGTAAATGAAGAAGTACAACTTAGAATAATTTCTAGTCGATTCTGCCAATAAATAGCTGAGAAACTTTACAGCATGCTATTTCATTTTTCTGGTTCAGTTTCCTTTTCTATCTAACGAGCGATTTTGACTATATAAATCAGTAAAGTCCTTTTTTAGTTCTAAAATTCTAATGCAGGGTAAGTATAGCACATTGTAGCCAAATTACCTTAGTGCAAATCTTTATTTTGCCACTGCTTTCTGTATTATCTTGACAAATTACTTAACCTTGTGTCTCAGTTTTTCATTTGTAAGGCAGGAGTGCTTTATGAGTTTGCATTGTGTAAAGACTAAATGACATAAAATTTGCTTAGAACAATGCCTAGCCTGTCCATCATTCAATTATTAGCTGTTATTGTTCTGCTCATACTTCTAGATGAACAAATGACTAACTTTAATATGCTTCATTGTCTTCATGTCTGTAATAAAATGGTCTTTGTAGGGGCTGGGGCTTAATGGCAGAGTGATTGCCTAGCACGCATGAGGCACTGGGTTTTTGATCCTTCGCACCACATACAAAAAAATAAGCAAATAAAATAAAGACATGCTGGCCATCTACAACTACAAAAAAATTCTTTTAAAAAATGGTCTTTGTACATAAATAAAACATTAATTAAATTCAGTAAATATGTATTGGGATGCAGTTCATACGTGTACTTGCTTAGCATGTATGAGGCTGTGGGTTCAATGTCCAAAAAAAATTGGAGGATATGTTTGGAAGGTGTATTAAGTAGTGCACATGGTATAATACAAAGTATAAAGTATTTCTTGTGAAACAGCCACACATTCAAATATTGGCTCTCCCAGTATAACATGTGACCTTGAATAATTTCTCTGAATTGTTTTTCCTCCCTTGGGAAATGGGAATATAGTTCTATCATTAATTAAGCATTAATAATGGTAATGGTCTTATTAATCTTATCAATAATAGCTCTGTGATTAAATACAACAGATTTTTGGCAACTCTTGTAACATTTCTTAAAATTTACAGAAAGCACAAAACCAGAACAGAATTCAGTGAATGAGAAACTCTTCCAAGACTCAGAAGCCATGTAATCATAGTATAAAACTTATAGATGGTTGAGATAGTATGTATGCTTCAAATATTCTCCCATTATCTTCTCAACTGAGTTTTTTGATAAAGGTGTTCCAGACTGAAATAAGATAAAATTATTTTTGTGTAATAGCCTTTCCTTTTTAATTTAAGCATCTGAAAATTAATATTTTAAAATACCACTATACATTGTGTTAAATCTAGAAGAGAGCTGATTCTACACTTAGTTAATTTCACACTAATTAATGATAGAATGGTGTCAGAATATATTAAGAAAAACTGGTAAATCACATTAATCGAAGAAGGAAATTGGCCTTTAATTTGGGAGTGTTGATTTTTCATCTTTAACACTTTAGTTTGCTTTCCCTCTCTAATATATGATCAAAATGGCATATGAGTAAGAGGTACATATCAGAAAATTACTGAAGGGATAATTGAAATAGAATTTTTTTTAATATTTATTTTTTAGTTGTAATTGGACACAATACCTTTATTTCACTTATTTATTTTTATGTGGTGCTGAGGACTGAATCCAGGGTCTCGAACGTGCAAGGCAGCGCTCTACCACTTAGCCACAACTCCAGCCCATGAAATAGAATTTAAGATGTTCTGTTCTGCTGTTACCAGAATGTTACCTCTTTGATTCTTCCTCCTAGTTTGTGAGCAAGAACTCACTAACTCTACCCAAGAGATGGCTAAATGTGAGAATTTTGAAAAGCCTGATGTGAAGGATGATATGTTTGATCCTTCTATTCCAAGCAGTTCTGTTTCTAAGAAGATTCCACGTAGTCCACAACTTTCGGATTTTGGACTTGAGCGATATATGATATCCCAAGTTTTACCAAACCCTCCACAGGCAGTAAACAACCATAAGGAAGAGCCTGAAATTCAAACTCCACCTACCAGTCAGTCACTAGTTAAAATACTAAAAACTCCAAAATGTGCTCTAAAAATGGATGATTTTGAGTGTATAACTCTTAATGTAGAACATTTTGGTATCTCTGAACATACTTTCTGTTTAAATGAAGATTATACAATGGGACTTAAAAATGTGAAGAATATTAAAAGGTAAGCAACTTTATTAAAAGGTACATTTTTATTTTATTTCCTAAATATTTTGTATTTATTAATTTTTGTCCTCGATGCAACGTTTCAAACATTTTTCATTTAAAATGAACTACAAACTGTTGGTTTCTTTAGATGAGAGGCTACATAGAAAGAATCATGATACAAGCCTGAAAAAAGATGATATTTGTGGAAATAGGAAAGAGGAAAAAATTAAAGGAGTAAAATTAATAAGAGTTTGTGATTGCTTTGGTTAGAGCGGAGGGTCTAGGATAAACCCCAGATTTCTGGTTTATTGCCGTGGGATGATGCTAGGGAAAGCAACTAAGGTAAGAATACCTGCAGCTTGTGGGAAAAGGCAATGTGTGTGCATGTTGATTTTTGAGGTGCCTGTAAATATTTATTTCCTCTTAAATATTTTAATAATAATTTGAAGCTTAATGTGAATTCAGTACTAGATTTAAAAGATCTGGATGTGATTAGTGTGGAAATGCTAATTAAAACCATGTGAGTTACAATGAACACGCCACTGATTAAAATAGCATCAAATACATGAAAAAATGTTCATCATCACAAGCAATTAGAGAAATACAAATCAAAACTCCTCTAAGATTTCATCTCACTCCAGTCACAATGGCAGCTATTATGCATACAAACAACAATAAATGTTGGCAAGGATGGGGTGGGGTGTACACACTCATACATTGCTGGTAGGACTGCAAATTGGTGCAGCCAACATGGAAAACAGTATAGAGATTTCTTGGAAAATTGGGAATGGAACCACCATTTGACCCAGCTATCCCTCTTCTTGGTCTATACCCAAAGGACTTAAAAACAGCATACTACAGGGACACAGCCATATCAATATTTATTGCAGCACAATTCACAATAGCTAAACTGTGGAACCAACCTAGATGCCTTTCAATAGAATGATAAAAAATATATGGCATATATATACAATGGAATATTACTCAGCAATAAAAGAGAATAAAATCATGGCATTTGCAGGTAAATGGATGGAGTTAGAGAAGATAATGTTAAGTGAAGTTACCCAATCCCAAAAAACCAAATGCCGAATGCTTTCTTTGCTATAAGGAGGCTGATTCATAGTGGGAGAGGGAGAGGGAGCAAGGGATGAATAGACAAACTCTAGATAGGGCAGAGGGGTTGGAGGGGAAGGGAATGGGCATGGGGTAATTAATGATGGTGGAATGTGGTGATCTTTATTATCCAAAGTACATGTATGAAGACATGAATTGGTGTGAATATACTTTGTATACAACCAGAGATATGAAAAATTGTGCTCTATATCTGAAATAAGAATTGTAATGCATTCTGCTGTCGAATATAAATAAAAAATAGCAAACAGTATCTAAGGACAAAATAATATAAATATATAATAAAGGTATTTTTGAAGGAAAGATTATTCAGTAAATTATTCTGGGATAATTGGTTAAGTGGGAAAAGATCAAGTAATTTTTACCTCATGTCAAAATAAATTATAGATAGATCAAAAGTAAATATTTGCTTAAAAAGTAGAAGTAGCAATATTATATATTAAACAATCAAAAAAAATACACTTGATCTACCAGTAATTTTAGTCTTGAAAAAAAAAATGACAAGGTTTTTTTTGAGGGGGAGGTGGGTACCAAGGATTGAACTCAGGGGCACTAGACCTCTGAGCCTCACCCCTAGCTCTATTTTGTATTTTATTTAGAGATAGGGTCTCACCGAGTTGTTTAGCACCTCTCCAGATGCTGAGGCTGGCTTTGAATTTGTAATCCTCTTGCCTCAGCATCCTGAGCTGCTGGGATTACAGGCATGCGCCACCTGTGCCTGGCAACAAATTCTTAATCTGTATCTGTGTAAAGTTCTACTTTATGATTTTGAAGTTATGAAGTATGCAGTTCCTTTATTTGAAGTAATGAGAATTTATAGCTTTCCTTTAAGTCAGAGGTTGTTAACCTCTTTTGAACCATGGGGATGGATGGACGGATGGACAGACTGAGGGATGGGTGGATGGATGGGTGGGTGGATACTTAAATAGTTTTGTTGTTCATTTTCTTAAAGGGCCAGGCAGGGTGGCATATACTTGTAATCCCAGTGAATTAGGAGGGAGTAGGATTGCAAGTTCAAGGCTAGCCTCAGCAATTTAGAAAGACTGTCTCATAAAAAATAGAAAAAGGACTGGGGATATAGTTCTATGGTCAAATGCCCCAAGTTCATTCCCCAAGAGAAGAATAAAAGAGAAAGAAAAATGTTCCATGGGGCATCTTGTCCATGAAAGAGAACTGAACTAGTCCAAATTTATGTTATGTAATAAGAATTAAGTTTTATCCCAGAGGTTTAATGTTAATTTTTTTTTACTTTATAATTTCCCTCTGAACCACATCAGTGAGAAGACCCTAGAAAGAGAACCCATGACCAATAATTTTTCTGTTACTCCTGGCCCCATAATTCAGCAGCTGGAAAAAAGTGGTGAGTGCAAACATCAAGCTTACTTTTATCTACAACTTAAACAGTATTAAAAAGAAATGGTTCTGTCACCTTAGACACTTTATAGTTTTCCATATCTTTTTAATCTGTAATATTGAATTTTATAAAAATACCATCCCATTCAGGGTAAGCATGATTTCATGCAAGAGAAATATAAAATTTTCTGGTGTGTTTTTAGTATTATTTTGGATTATGTTTAGTATTTGTCAGCTTTTTTGTTTCTAATGTTTTAATTTAAGACGTATGTATTCTTTCACCAATCTTTTGATGTAGAGCCATAGTACTTTTTTTTTTAGTTTAGCTTGAACCTATTGGTTAGAGTTATACATTATCTTTCTTACATAAGTCACATCCAGAATACACCAGCTATCATTTCAAATATTTTTAAATGGTTCAATAACTTAAAGAAAATATTCATGCAGGTTTGTTTTGTGTGTGTGTGTGTGTGTGTGTGTACGCGTGCGCTAGAGATTGAACCCAGAAAAACATTGATTTTTTTTTTATGAAAATACAAAATAAATCCTAGAGTTTTATGATTTCTCTGAATAATTATTTATTGCTGTCTGATCTATACCAAATTTATTGGTAGAGTTTTAAAATGTCTTTATCAGATCTTTCCAAAGTTTTGGACATATTTTCTGAAAAGTTTTTATTGTACTAATTTCACTGACATGTAATTAAATTATGTTATTATATTAATAAGTACTGTTCACTTAAACGGGTTTAAAAAATATAACTGACTCATAGTAGCTTATAGCTCACCTTGTAAGAGTGTGATTGTATTAAAGAGCTGCTGATTGAAAAAAAAATTTTTTTGAGCCATCACCTCATATCACGCTCAACTCAATTCCCAATGAAGTATGTAAACATTTTAGAAAATGAAGAACTCCTGAAAGTGGAATGGATTTATTAAAGAATAGACTGCTTGTTAAAATCCTGTAGTAAATCACAGGTAATGTGTTTATTGGGGGAATAGAAAAAAGTAATCTAGTTAAAGGGAACTTTGTTAAAGTTATTGTATTTTGGTTTGACCCTGTTTTTAATCCCACAAGAGTATCTTTATTACCATTTTCATAGCCCTTACTTAAAAAAATGCAGTAGTTTATTTATAGCTTACATTGTTTGCTATGGCCCACTCACTTCTTCTGGATTTAGCTGGGTTTTTTGCCTTTTGTGTGTGGTGGTGGGTACTGGGGGTCAAACCTAGGGGGCACCCTTCCACTGAGCTATATCCCCAACACTTTTTGTTTTTTGAGACAAGTTCTCACTAAATTGCTGAGGCTGGCATTGCACTTTCCGTCCTCCTACCTCACCTACCTCAGCCTCCTGAGTTGCTAGGATTACAGATGTGAACCATCACACCCAGTTTAAACTAACCTTTTTTTTTTTTTTTTTTTTTGTACTGGTGTCTGGACTCAGGAGCACTTGACCACTGAGCCACATCCTCAGCCCTGTTTTGTATTTTATTTAGAGACAGGGTCTCACTGATTGCTTAGCATCTTGCTTTTCATAAGGCTGACTTTGCACTTGCAATCCTCCTGCCTCAGCCTCCCCAGCTGCTGGAATTAAAGGCATGTACCACCACTCCTGGCTTAAAGTCATTCTTGAATGATAATTTAGTTGGGTAAAGATCACTAGATTGAGAATTATTTTTCTTCAATATTGTGTTTAATATGCTGCTGAGCATTCTTTTTCTTTTTTCTTTTTTTAATACTGGGGATTGAATATAGGGGTGATTTGCCACTAAGCTACATCCCTAGCCCATTTTTTAAGATAGAGTATCACTAAGTTGCTGAGGTTGGCCTCAAACTTGTAGTCCTCCTACCTCAGCCTCCTGAGTTTGTAGGATTACAGGTGTGTACCACCATGCTTAGATTACACTTACATTTTTTAAGTTATTAATAATAAAGCACATGGGGCTGGGGTTGTGGCTCAGTGGTAGAGTGCTTGCCTAGCATACATGAGACACTGGGTTTGATCCTCAGCACCACATAAAAATAAAAGATATTGTGTCCACCTAAAACTAAAAATAAATATTTAAAAAATAATAATAGTAAAGCACGTGGGGGATGTACTTAATGACACAGTGCTCTGAATTCCAATCCCCAGCACCACACACACACACACACACACAAAAGCACAAATTATATTGACAATACTTACAATTTAAAAGTTGAAATCTTCTGTTTGTTTTCAAATCTTCATTTTCATGAACATTTTGTGTGTCTTCTAGATGTCGAGTGCACAAATTCCCCATTGGCACCTACATTCTGCACTCCTGGCTTGAAAATTCCTTCCACAGAGAACAGCACAGCTGTGGTAAATGCCTATAGAATTGAAAGCTCTAATCTTTCTCCTAATGACTCAGATACTACTTCCAGACTCCAACGGTCTGTTTTTGTTTGTTTTCTAACTCACATAAAACCTAGGTTTTTGTTTTCCTTCCTTAAAGAGAAATAGGATTTTTATTTACTTTTAAGTCAGCATTAGGAAGGAATAATTGACATGAAATAAACTACATATATTTGGAGTACAGAATTATATTTTGGCACATGTATTCATTTATAAAACTACCAACACAAAAGAAAAAGAATATATGCATCATCCCTAAAAGACTCCTTGTGTTCCTTGATAACCCTCTCCTGACTCCCAAGAGGTTCTCATTTCAGTCTACTGTAGAAACTTAGATAAATCAGGAGAGATTACAATGTATTTCTTGAGGGTGTTTTACCAGCATAGATCAAGAACTTTAAAAAAAAAAAAAATTATACCTTTTAATCATGTGTCAGAATTTGTCCTAAAGCCACCTAGGATAAAGATTCATAACAAGTTATAGGAAGAAATACGAAAAAGGGAAACAATTTAAAATATCAAATGAAAAATAAGAAGAACTCAATAAGGCATCTCCATAAAACCAGATGAAAACAGATTAAAGAGTATTTTCAAGAAATATTTAATCATATGAAAAATTACATGTATGTGTTGTTTATACAACACATTGATGTATACATTTTTTAAAAAATGAATGAGTAGAAATATAGTTCTCTGGGCAACAGGTTTATGAGTGTTTTAATGTTTTTTTTTTCCTCTCCAAATTTTTCTAGGTAACAAATTTATTATAATCAAACCACATCAATTTATTATTTTTGTTTTGTGGTGCTGGGGATCAGACCCAGGGCCTCACGCAGTCTAGGCAGGTGCTCTACCACTGAGCTACATCTACCACTGAGCTACATCCCCAGCCCAACCTTATTATTCTTTTTTTTTTTTTTAAAGAGAGAATTTTTTAGTATTTATTTTTCAGTTCACAACATCTTTGTATGTGGTGCAGAGGATCGAACCTGGGCCCGCACGCATGCCAGGCGAGCACACTACCGCTTGAGCCACATCCCCAGCCCCCCAACCTTATTATTCTTTAGAGTCAGTATGAACACTTAAGACAACCAGTATTTTAGACAACCACTACTGTAGTGGGATATCCAACAGAACTAACTGGAGTGATGGAAATTATAATCTATGATGTTAAATATGGTAGCCACGAATTACATGTAGTTTTGGGGGCTTTAAAATGTGGTTACTGATCTGAGGAACTAATTTTTAATTTCTTAAGACTTTGTTTAATTTTAGTTAATTTATATTTATTTAGCCCCTGTGACTTAAATATTGGCCAGTGCAGCTGTAGACAAACGCTGTGCTGGGTTATCAGTTGAAGTGTCAGGTTATCTGTCTGCTGGCACTTGCCATTTACAATGAATTTACTTCTCATGTTTCTATTCATGTGGAAGGCACCCTGACCTGAGAATGTTAACTTCTTTTTTTTATTAATAACTCTGGCCCTGGGGAGATGGAGTAATTTACCCAGGTAGTTAATTTAGCATGAAAACTGCAAGTTGAGCTTCCTTCATATCTGCTTTCTTCTTCTTGGGGGTGAGCCTGTTTGCTAGGGGGTGTGGAAACACTTGCTTATCATGCTAGGATTCTCATCTGGCCCAGTTTAGTGTTGCCTGAAATGGCAACATTTCATCTAAATCTGGAGTTTAGCCAACATTCCATTTAGTTCTTTTATTGGTAACGAAGATGGTATTTTGTCCAGCGTATGCCATTTCTTTGTCTTCTTCGGTTTTGTTTAGAACACAGTTATAGAAGAAGAGGGTCATTTGGAGGCTTACTCAGGGGCCCCAACAGAACTATCACTGTTTAATTTTTAAATTACTGCTATAACTCAATGATTTATTTTTATTTTCTAGGTATCCACAAATTATCCATTACCAAAAATAAATAGTTCATCAAATGATGTGGAAGTTGAAGATTACACTCCACTAGTTTTAAAATCAGATGAGTGCTTTGAGAATTTTATGGATCCCTTTTCTCCTACAATTTCTTCTTACGAGAATCTACTTAGAACACCTACACCCCCAGAAATAACTGCAATTCCAGAGGATATTCTCCAGGTTATTTTTTAAGACAATTTTTTTTTCTGATATTAAAGACTTGAAACTGCATGTAAGCTGTCTTGTCTGTTAGGCTAATGTGCTGGCACTTTAGTGTTGACACAATCTAAATTCTAGGCAGATAGGCCCTTCTAAAAACACCTGGTTTCTGAGCTTAGTATAAGCTAGTGACTTCCCATATTTTTAATGAGCTTCCCACATTTTTAGGGATGTTATACCAATGGGGCATGTTTCTCTTTACCTTTGAAATGTATTCTTATCAATATTGTTCAGCTATGATTTCCACATTGACCATTATTCCATTAGAAGTGTTGCAAAGTCAGAAATGTCATTCACCCTCAATTCTTCAGAGCAGGGTATCATTAATTACATATCAGTTTCTTGAACTTGAGGCTTCTTGGGCCTCAGCCTGAGAAACACTGGTTTACATGTAAATATCTGATTCTTGAATGTAAATTTGCCACTAGTCTTACTACTGATTTCTAACTGCCAACTGTACTAAATGACCAGTCTGATTTCTTTGACAATCCTCTTGTTTAACAGAGTGTTTGGCTGGTATTGCTTAGGCACGTGAATTTTGTTTGTTTTGGTACCAGGGATTGAACCCAGAGGCACTCAACCACTGAGCCACATCCCCAGCCCTATTTTGTATTTTATTTAGAGACAGGGTCTCACTGAGTTGCTGAGCGCCTCACCATTGCTTAGGCTGGCTTTGAACTCATATCCTCTGTCTCAGACTCCCAAGCCATTTTGATTACAGGCAAGTGCCACCGCGCCCGCATGCCCTTTTTATTTTTTATTTTGAGGCAAGGTCTCACTAAGCTGCTGAGCCTGGCTTTGAATTTGCAGTCCTCCTGCCTCAGCCTGCCAAGCCACTGGGATGACAGGCCTGCACCAACATGCCCAGCTGGCACATAGAAGTCTCAGTAACTACTCTAGAAAGGTTACTGGCTTAAGAAAAGACATAAGAAGGATAACCACTTGGGAAATTAACTAAATGTCATCAGAATTGAGCTACTTGGGAAAATAACCAAATGTCATCAGAATTGACCCAGGATAAGATATTTAATTATTTCTTGTCTTTTCTGCTTTTCTGGGCAATACCTATAATAGTTGAATGAGGAATGAGTATAGCATGTTCCCATGGTTCATTCTTCTCAATTCTATTTGAAAGGAACAAAGCCTTGTATTTAATGTCACTTCTTTTTTTAATAATATGTATTTTTTTATTTGTAGATGGACACAATAACTATTTTATTCGTTTGTTTTTATGTGATGCTGAGGACCAAACCCATTGCCTCAATATACCAGGCAAGCACTCTACCACTAAGCTACAAACCCAACCCCTTTATGTCACTTCTTTTTGGGGGACAGGGGGTTTACTGGGGATTCAGTCCAGGGGCATGTGACCACTGAGCCACATCCCCAGCCCTATTTTTATTTAGAGACAGGGTCTCACTGAGTTGCTTAGCACCACACTTTTACAGAGGCTGGCTTTGAACTTGTGCTCCCCCTGCCTCAGCCTCTCATGTCACTGGGATTATAGTCATGCACCACCATGCCCAGCTTTAATGTCACTTCTTTGTGTAGGAAAAGGATGCTGACATTTCAGAGTTTACTTTTATGATCTTTATAACTGATGAGCTTTCTTTTAAACATTGTTTCAGATTTTTCCCTAACAGCTTCAGCTTGTAAAGGCTTACTTGCTCTTGGGGATGTACTGGTTGCATTATCCTCAGTTAATGAGGATAATGCCTTTCAAACCTTTACATCCAGTTAAATTTCTAATATCTCAATGTTTTCATTGCTGTTGAATGTCTGCAGGCATGCTAAATAAGTTTAATTTTCCATGGCTTTTCTTGAATGTTTTCTAACATTTTCTATATTTGTTATGTTATTCATATGACTTGACAGAAAAAAAATTTGCTCGTTTTAGATTTTGTCAAAATGCAACTCAAACATAGCTACTCCAGTAGCAGTAAAGGCAGTGCCACCCAGGAGAGGTTTCCTCAAATACAAAAGACAGAATACCCAAGATGCTGGCGACAAAGAAAACTGGTGAAAGTGAGTATTCTACTGTTCTAAAGAAAATATGTGTTATTTGAGAGGACATTTTAAAACTAACATAGAATGATAGTAAAAATAGTTTACGGGCTGGGATTGAGGCTCGATGACAGAGCGCTTGCCTCACATGTATGAGGCATTGGGTTCAATCTTCAGCACCATGTAAAAATAAATAGATAAAGGTACTGTGTCCATCAAAACTAAAAAAAAATTTTAAAAAATAGTTGCTGGGGCTGGGGCTGGGGCTGAGCAGTAGAGCATTTCCCTAGCACATGTGAGGTGCTGAGTTCGATCCTCAGTACCACATAA